AAAGCACCGTGCGCTCACGTGAATGAAGAAAATACCCTGTCATGCAGAGCCTTACGTCTGCAAAGTCGACAGCATGGAAAACGCATCAGCCAAGCTCAGCCAGTGACTTTGGATCAATGCTACCTCCCCCTCGTGAACTTCCATTCAAGCGTACTGCGACCGCACCAACAGACAGACCTTTAGGGATCGAGGGTGTTGATAAAAAGGAAAAGACCATGACAACACCCGCTCTCACGTCAACGCTGACAACGAAGTCTCTAGACTTTGACGCGAGCCAGCTACAACAGTCTTCCATGAGAGCCTTCTTCAACGACGAAGTGGAAATATCCAATCTCGAGAAAACAAATACAAGGGACACACCCTTAACCTCCCGACCGAGACGAGCCGCAACGGGCCTCAAGAAGTCAGCTAAACAGGCGGCACCGCTCAGACGGAGTGACAACCAAACAAGCCCTTCAATTCAAACAAGCCGTACAGCAAGCTCGAAAAACGCACCTCAGAAAGATTTCAACGAGGAACCTAAAAGCAAGAATGGTCTCCCAAAGAACTCGAGGACGAGACGAAGTATGGTATCAAGCAGGTCATCTCCGAGTGGGGATGGGTCACCTGGCGTAACAACCCACATTTGCTGTAAGCAAGAGAAAAGCTCTGTCCGCACAACCGAAACCCAGCAAGCAACAAAAGCTCGTGTCAACACAACAACCTTTGCCGGACGCAATTCGGAAAGCTACTTCAGAACCTAAGCTGATTGTGGTGCGCTACCACGACACCAGCACGCAGGCGAGCTTGGTGCCAGAAAATCGTAACCACGCGCCCACCGCGATTTCCCGATCTAATTCAAATGTCAATGGTCAACACACATGTGCGTACAAAGATTTAGATACCAGAGAGGTATCTCTATATGTTGATAAGGCTCAGGCCTGTCCCATCAGCGAGACGATATCAGAATCCAGTACTCAGACTCACATCGTTGTCCAAGATGCAGGTAGCTACTGCAATATCCGCCGTGTGCATGACCAGGACCAGCAGACCGTATTGTCAGGTAAAGAACTCGATGCACGTCTTGAAATGCAGTCTTCAGTTCAGAAAGGCATCCAGACAGCAGAAAACAAATCGGAAGACATTTGCATCACTTGTAGGGCCCATTCACGTATGGTCCAAGCCGGGGTGCAAACATTAGTGTCCGGTTACGAAAATATAGGAGAAAATGACATCAGGGAACCCCGAGCACCGAACACCCGCGCAAAGACGAAACCTGAA